TGATGTTATGTTTTGGGCTTGTGCCAGACTTAACATTTTACATTTAGGCCAAAATAGTTTTGCCTCATTTGACCATAAAACATTCTGTCACATACTGTATCAGCAAGATTCAAGGTGAGAAATTTCCAGTAAAGTCTTCTTTCTTGCCATTCACGCATATAAACCATTCACACAGCTTTGTTTAGGGGCTGAGATATTGTCAATATATGAACAATATATGACATAGAACTTAGTAGATCTTTCAAAATCAATATTGGTTTCACTGTGGTATCCTTAACCAGTTTTGTGCTTGCCCAGCTGCTAAGTCTGGAAAGGCAGGCTGATCTAAGTGTCTGCTTAGTATGATGCACATTCCACTTCTTAATGATGGACTTCAATGTACTTAAACAGGTATATTTGAATCTTTCCCAGATTTGTGTCTCTCTACTACATTTTTATATGAAAGGTCTGTGATCTCAACAGCCTTTTTGTTGTATCATTATATGAGTTGAAGTTTGAAATTCATTATGTGTCAGAGTTAACTTACAGAGACAGATGCTTACTGCATCTTAAATCAAGTCAAACCACATTGATTACACACAGGGACTATTACACTTTTGTGACCTTCCAAACTATTGTTATGCACCTGGGGGTCTGTATTTTATATTAAAGTCAATGGTACTGTAACAGATGTATGTTACATGGTGTATTTGTTGTGAAATATGAAATAAAATACAGGTTGACGATGCTCTTTTAAAGTTGAATGGTGCTTTTGGGAGTCTTTTTTTACCTGTTTCACTAACCTCAAAATGGGGAAAAAACAACATATATTAGGTGTAGTTACTGCAGTTACTTTACATTCATGGAATTTGTTATTGTTCTCAAACTATATACAGACTGCTTGGGAAGTAACAGCAACAAAGTAAATAAAGAAAATATTTGATTTTTTCTTTGTAAAAGTGAAGAAAGCACCTCCAGACATGTAATACATAAAATGATGAGAAAATCATAATCAATATGATACTTACCAGATAAGTTCCTAACCCAAAACTTATGAGATTCCTAAAGAAGCAACAACCAAACAGTCTGTGATACATTATTTCTTTACCCTCATTGCAGTTAATAATGGGATTTTCATTTCAGACCACAAAAAACATTATAAATACCTCTGTCTCACTGTTGATGTGCTGATTGTCCAAAAGCTCTGCTCACAGTTGAAAAGCTGTAAAAATAAGAAGAATCCTTTGGACTGTAGAGATGCAGCAACACATTTTCTTTCAGAAATTTCCCAAGAAAATTAAATGAACGATTATCAGTGATTTTAACTACATATTGACAATGCCTTATAAATAATGTGTATTCTTGTATTATTTCTTAAATTAACGATAGCATATGTACAGTAAGAGGGCATCTGGTTCAGACAAAATGGCAGCCTCTTGTCTGGGCCACATTTCCCAGGAAGCTGAGGGGACTGAGCTGCTACCCTCAGTCACCTCACCAATTTTACTGTTAGATAACTGGTTAAGCAATATTTTAAAAAGCAGGAAGCAAAGGCTTCTAAGGTTGATTTTGAATCTGCTTTCTTGAAGACAGAAGACAGGTCCTCTGTAGTGCAAAATCACCAGAGGGGAGAGGAAATGAAAATTCCAGTGAGTTCTTAGATTCTGGAAGAGTGTTTGTTAACAGAAAAAGAGTGTATGTAATATGGACGTTTAATAAAGTTCTATTAAACATGAACACAATAAGACAAAAAAAACAGTTATTCCTATGCTTACTGTATATTGTTAAACTCATACAGTATAAGATGAAAGTTTAGGCTTACGCATACTGAAATACTTTTACAAAATAAACATATTCGTTTTATGAAATTATCTAAAATTTATAAAGGCAAATTTAGCATGTGGTAAATTATGAACAATCCAAATATACAGAATATTTATCCGTGGAGTAGTGTTTACACTCCTAGATTCATAATGTGAAGGTTGTATATTGAAATTCAACATAAAACACTGCTGTTGTATCTTTCAGTAAGATACTTCACCCAGTTTCTTTAGTAAAATACTCAGTTTTACAAATAGGCAAACAGAGATGTTGCTTTGCATGGAAGTATCAGCCAGATTAACTTATATATTCATTTTGCTTTAAAACTACATTTCTATAATTTTGAAATATGTTTGTGACTGTTTTGGTCCATACTAGTTTTGATCTAGTATGGACATTTGGAGTAGAAATGTCTTATTGTTAATATTGTACTTCTCTTGTGCTGTGTCATTTCTAACCACGTTTTAATTTAGTTCAGTTTAATTTTGTTTAATTTCCGTAACAGTGATAACATTGGACTCTTGCACCTTGACAATATATGTTTGTGACTTCAGGCCAGACCATCTAATGTAGTAGAATGACAGTATGGAATGCTGAACATTTACATAATCTACTATTCCTCCTGTCCTTCATCTAATTCCCTTATTTCAACAGTGGAATGCTAGCAAGTAATATAGCCTGGATGTTTTTTTTCTTCATTTTTCATATTCTTAAATTTTAACTTCTCCTTGGAATATGTGGAAACCAAATTTCCTTCTCAGAAACCAATTTATCTTACTTTATATTGGCCCAGCTCAATTAAGATAGCATACCTACTGTATGCCAAACTGTACAGCCTACAATATGAATTCCTCTCTTTTCTTCTGCATCCAGGTTTTTCAGAACTTTATATTTAGTTCATATTGTTGACATACTGTATGGGTTATCCTATCAACAATAGCAGTCTTATCTAGCAACACCACCTTTTATCACTATATTTGTAAATTTAGATTTTTAAATAATATACACAGAATTCTCACTGTGTGTATTGGGATATTAGATGTTTTTTATTAATACTGCTATCTTCATCATTTTCTTCAGTAAATAGAAAACCAGAACTACATACAGATCATCTACTTCTTTGTTAAAACTATAATCCTCTGTTTGCATAGACAGGTTTTACTACACACTGAAGAGCAGACCATTCTATTAGATGTATGTGTATGTATATACTGCACATCTTGCACCTAGACCAGGATCCGTGGGACACTGAGACTGGAGCTGGGTGTGTCATGCAGGGTATGCATGGTGTGCACTTCTGTATGTCAATAAAGTCAACTATACTTCATGGTGGGAGCTCTGGTATCTGGCTTATGCCATGTTCTAGTGCTGCCTCCAGAGGGTCTACTTCACATAAGACACTGCTGTTGTATCTTTCAGTAAGCTTATAATCTATAAGGGTGACCTGCATTACTATGCAGATCTCTTCAGGCGTTGTGTTCAGTACCCGAGTTCATCAGTCTCTAAAGCCCAGGCAGGCAAGCACAGTCAACCTTGGTAACCAAATTGTGTCCTGGCTTCTGTGAAAATTGATCCTGGTGTGAGTGGGTGTGTTTGTGTCTGCGTGTGCCTTGCAATGGACTGGTGTTCTGTCTGGGGTATATTCTGCCTTGTGCCCACTGATTGGTGGGATAGGCTCCAGCTCTCCCGTAACCTCATACTGAATAAAGCGGTTAGAAAAAGGATGGATACATTTTGTATTTCAAGCATCTCGGATAATATTTTCATACTGTATATTCTCACTCTTAAGTCTTAGAATTTACAAGCAAAGTTGCTCTCCCATAATAAATTGTGGTTTCTCTACAATACCAACAGTCTACAAACCACTCACAGACATTATGTATTTTTGAATGTATTCATTGCGTAACTTTCTTTCATTATAGAAACCTATGTTGAATTGTGAAAATGCTTGAAAATGAAAGGGACACTTTGGAAAATTGTAAGCACCCCCACAGTAGCTAGCTGCAGGTAAACGGAAGTAATCTATTATAACATTTTACTATATATCCTGCTGGGACTTGGAATTCGTGCCAATAGAAAATGTCTGTGAACTCTGAATCTTGGCCTGGCAGGACTGCAAAGTAATGTCAAAAGACATTAGGCTGCACAATCAAGGAGGACAGTGGCCAGAGTTTGTGTCCTAAACAGCCAAATGAAAATTGTGTGCCACTAAAAATGAATTTCAGCCAAATTCATCGTGTGTACTTGTGTAGTTTTGTGTGACTGAAAAAAAAGTTTATCTTCTTTGAACTCTTCAGTTATTGTTTGTATCTGACTCATTATTCAATTAATGTATCTTACTCATTATCGTTGAAAAACGTATAAAAACTATATTTTTATGCATCTAAGAAAACAATATTTGCATACCGTGTACAAAAAATATGTCAAGCCAAATCGCTTCAGCATAACGAACACGAGTACAATCAGCATAGGGGCAGAGACCTGTCAAGACGTTTAATTCTGCTGCTTGTAAATATCGTTGTACAAATATAAGAAAAATTATAGTCCGAGTTATTTTTTCTATAAAAGGAAGAATTCATACAATATAAGAGCTTTTATTTTTTTTACACACACATACCAAAAAAAATCAGGATTAAGAGCGTTGTTCTACCGATTATACGTTTCTGGTTACATTTTAAGTACAGAAGCAATGATTAATTTAGTCGATGGCGGCGCCTTTGTGAAAATAAACCATGTTAAATTTAAACATGATTTTTCTTTTAGTTTTGGCATGATTTTACCTAATCGATTCATCTGCTTCTACCACAGCGTGCCACAGTGAATCTTTGTTAGGGACGTTTCAAGTCTCTGATTGTTTCTCATTCTTTTATGTATAAATTAAGTAATTTGTAGCAAATTCGCAAACGTAAACATCCACTAAACCCCGCATACTGAACTACATGTTCTCTCTAAGTATCTTTAAAAATATCTGACCCTCTGACCCCGTTTACCTTAGCGACAGAGACGCGTCACGAGTGGATTAATCCATTTCATGAATGAATGTTAAACACAGCATACGAAAAGTTGAATCAACACATACACATTTTATTATAAAATATTCTCATGGGTAATATAAAATTTGGGAAAAGGTGTACAACTCATATAATATTGGTGCAATATATTGTAATCCCTACAATACTGCAATGGTCTTTCCCCAGTTTTAGCTTGCGGTAAATATGGCGTCTGGTTGCTTAGCGCTGTTCCGTTTAATCCTGACTTGATGATACTATTTGTTTCATAAACGTTACATTGTTGTTGTTTTGTTTATAAAGTGCAGTGTTTATTAAACATCATGTCAGATTCGGAAGAAGACAGTCAAGACCGACAGCTGAAAATTGTGATTATAGGAGACGGAGCCTCTGGAAAGGTGAGAGATTTTCAGATTTATATGATCTACTGTAGTATTGCAGCATCAACATATTTCGGATTTAAAACGATTGTGATTTATCCAGTCATTGCTTCAGCATGGGAGCCGGTGTTTCTCGAAGACAAATGTAGAAATACAAAATAAAACAGGTTTCTTGGTGTGCTCTTGAATTTACACTTTTGGAAATTATATTCAAAACAATATTTACTAGTTGCGTTTTAGTCGGGGATGGAACTAGACTAGTCGCAGGAAATTATATGTGCCATCGCTTAATGTGCATTCAATTTAATACGATTTATAAAGACAGCTTTTCTTAATGATATGAAGATGAACGTAATTTTTATCGAGCAACAGTTGGATCCCAGTACTGGCGAAATTCTTGGATTTCCATTACATAGGTCTAAAAACCGAGTAGGATTTCGTCTGCTGTGACTTTTTCTTTTTTCCTTCTCGAAAACAGACATACAGTACATTTTTTACCCTCAAGACTTCATATGTTGGTACATTTGCCTGCAAACAGAGTATTGCCTTTCCAAAACCAATTAGAAATTCCAAATTCATTTCCCTGTATAGACTGTGGTGTGAATAAACGGATTAAATGAAATTGCTCCTATTTGTTCTGGAACAACAGATGATATTTTATGATATTTTGAGATGCTGCGCTTTGCTTTATGCAAGGCAGCAAGTAGCATCATCGGTATGTGACCCTTCCAGGTAATATAAACATCTCATAAGAGGAAAGTGCTGATACTGCAAACCTAAGGTTTTTAATGCCAAGAAAGTAGCCTTAATAACACCTGAATCGCTCAGTTCTACAATAAGGGTGTGCTTATTAAGATTAATTATCAATTCCGAAGTTTAATGTCTTAAATTGGAGACATTTTACATTTTAATGTATTTTTACAAATATGTTCTTGTGATGGTCTGGGAAAATATTTGTCAGAGCAGCTCTGATTCAGTCAAAAGCTTAATGTTGATAATCATCCTGTCCTCACAATGTCTAGTTCGGGGACAGTACATCACAAAGAGATAATATAACACTGCGTTTTAAATTCTAGGGTATTGGATATAAACAGTCATTACGTTGGGAAAAAAAAGGGGGGGGGGGGGACACAGGGAGGTCTACATTTTTACCTTCTCGTATCTGTTTCATAGGATTAAGTCAAAATATTGTACGCCATAAACACATGAGATGGGGCGAATGGCTTCTTCTGGTTTGTAACCTTTTTACGCATCTTCACGTGTGCGTTCAGCTCGCTTAGCCTTTTTTTCCCCACGCAGCTGGTCCTTTACACAACTTATTTTTCGCTCTTTCTCTCCTGTCAACAGTGTACCACGGATATTGAAAATGTAAAACAACCGTAACTATATTGTAATACTGTACAATAGGGTTATATTGCTTAATTAAGGAAATTGCTTAAACTACATGTATTATTTCTATTACGTAATGCATTAAAGATTATGCTGTGCACCGGTAGATTAAATGAGGTTCCAGACCAGATATTTCTGAGTTCGAATAGCGTGTTCTCCAATTTACGTTTTCCGTTTTCCGTCTTTAAATATTTTTTTATTTAATTTTTCAATACAAATGGGATTCAAGACTTGAAGAATTCAGGACAAGATTTCGGAATTTAAGACGTAGTTTGATACTTCATCGTTGTTTACATGTACAGTGACTTCATCAGTCGGTCAAGCCTCAGAGTTTCGACTGACATCTCTCAGAAAGTGGTAGTTATTAGGTTCTTCAACACCCTTGCAAGCATTCTGTAACTTTCTGGAGGGTGGGAGGCGGTCACAATATTGAGATGGTATAATGATTGTGTTTTAAGCTACTCTAATCAGGCGTACACACACAAAAAAAGACTTGTGTAAGAAACGGAAGACCATATGGTACCACGCGCTATACTACACAGACGACGCATTACGCAAGTTCCGCTCCTGCCGACGTAAATTGCAGGAGTGATAATAATAACGGGCGCGTGACAGGAGCACGCCTGTTTTTGCTTGAGTACAAAGTGATGTGAGTAAAACAACGTGTAAAACGCGACAACTTTAGAACAAACTTCAGATTTGATGTACTTAGAAAAGCAGTTTTCACCCAGCAGCTACATTTTCTTCATTAGAGTTTATAGATTTTGTTCCTCTTATATTATTATTTTTACTTTGTCAATTAACATTTCAGAAATTAAACATAATACCATGTCAAATTAACTTTGTCACTGAAAGATCCTGTTGTGATTTGAAACCATTTATAGGGTAGACTTCTTAAAAACGCCGCATCACACTTATCGCAATGTAAATACAATTTAATTATTTCTAAAAGTAATTTCAGATGCATAGAGTTGAGGATTAGTTTTCTAAATCAGTATTTTGCATCGACTGTTACTTCTAGCCTATATCTATCCTTAAAAAATCCACCCTCTAATTTAATACATTTACAGTGTTCGAGATTAAACAGAAGTAATCCACATTCAGTGCATTTCTGCAAAGTAAAACATTTGTACAGAAGCTGCAGTAAATTATATACAAAACCAATATATATATATACATTCTTTACGTTTTAGTTAAAAAAAAAACTTAATCGCAACCACGGTCTTGAGTTGGTCTCTATAAAATCCTGCCCTTCAAGTGTGATTTTGATTGACTTGTCTTGGTCTCTTAATATTGAAACAGAATAGCCTTATCCCACTGGTACAGAATGTTGTCAAGTTAAATTATCGTCATTTCTGTGTAGAACTTTAGAACTGTGCTGTTGCAGTGCTGTTGTTGGACATTCTATGACTGGATGTGAAATAATATAGATTATATTTAACCCCCTAATGTGTACAATATCAAGTTCTTTCCAAGAAGCTTTTGACAAAGTTTTGACTCAGTTCATTTTTTTCCATTTCTTTCTAAGCAGACAGTAAATTGAAGAAATGTAATGCATGTAGAGTATACAATTTTAGTATGACTGGATTTTCTCATAAATCATTTTTCATAATCTCTAAACTGGCTTTCGCATACATAAATAGCACATTCATTAATTCTTCAAGGAAAAAAAAAACTTCTCACTGGGTGAGAGATTGTGGGACATACAGATAAATATTTAATACACATTGATTCTTGGAAAATATTTAGTGTAAAGTACAGTGCTGAACTGATTTCTGTTGCATGCCTACTCCCCAGTAAACACTGTAGTGTTTTTAGAAGACATTTGTGTCGGACACCATTAATCATTGATATGCTAAATGTTAATCAAACTTAAACAGAAATAAAATGAGAGATGTCATGGAAACTGCAAAATTGTTTTTCGGAATAATGGAATAATGTTATAATACAGGTTGCCTGTACCACATTGTGATGCTTTCTTTGTAAGCATCTGACAAAGCCCATTTGCCTATCATATGGTGTAAAGCCAGACCAATTGAAATTAAAGATGTTAAGAATATTTTTTGCTTAAGAACAGTGTTTATAGCAAAGAAAAGTGGTAGTCATGATAATCTTAAACAGTCTCCTTTTAAATGTATGTCTAAACTTTATATAATTGAGCAGAAATGTAGTCTGGTGAGTTAAAGTGCTTTTGGGGTTATTTAGTTCCTCCTTTTTTTAAACGGAAAAGTGAATTTAAAGTTATTTAGGCTTAAGGTGAAATTGAATGGGCTTAGTATGAAGATTCATTTTTTTAAAAGCAAATTAGCAGTTGGATTTCCTTACAGAACATACAAGAGAAGCAGTTTTCACCAGATAAATCTTTGGCAGGGGCTTTTTTAAGTCTTTGGCAGGAGCTTCAGTAAGTTAATGACAATTGTAACACCTTGGAGAATTGCCAGGTGCCAGCTCTTAACTGTCTGCATGATTTACCTGCTTCTAAAAAAGTACACCTCCTGTTTGGATGTGTACTTTGACTGACATTTTGTCTGTGTTTTCTTTCATGAATTTACTCACCAATTGCTATTGGATGAGTTTTTCTTGGACTCCTTCTCCTGTAATTCCCCCCTGTGGCTGTCAATTTGTAGACAGTAGGAAATATTTAAAAGTCTTTCCACTACCTGAAGTGGAACCTTTTTTTTAAAAAAAAAGTATCTCCATCTGCCTTTAATATGGATTTATATTTGCTTAGAGGACTAAGGACGATTTTGTGTTCATGATTTGTAGGTCTATCACCATATAGGATACTTCTAATTTATTTCTGCCCTGAAATATATATTTTTAAATTAAAATATGAGTGTAAACACTGGTTATAGGAACTGTAAGCAACTAGGAACAACTACTACACACCTAAATGTAGACATTTGTAAGTGTTAGCACAATGTCCTCATTATTTTATATGATGAGTGCCAGAGCACTATATCTGCTATACAGTATATTTGAGTACAAAGCCAATTGTGGTTCTAGTAGAATTGTGCATGTATTAAATTAATCTAGGTTATGCTGATTTTGAACAAAGTTGTCTTGTTGATGACATTTCCTTTAATTAAATGGAGTTTAATTTAATATGAATACCACTTGTATATTCATAATCGTATAAGATTAATAAAATATGCAATGGAATAATTGTGATTTTTGTTTTTATTGTGATAATTTATTATTCCTGTAGTTATTTCACTTTGTTTAATATTTTGCTGCTAATTATTTGTTCTTTCTTAAAGGAATTGCAGTTATAAACAAAGATTTTAACCCCAAAACCCATGAGCAACGAGCTTTGATAAAAATAATTTTCTCCTTATGTACCCCATTCTTTTATTTATCTTGTTTATAGTATTCACAGATATAAAACACAACTTTCCCTAAATACTGAGAGCGATTTCCAGGATGTGCCATTTGACATCTTCATTGAAGTGTCTCGTGTAATCTTGTATTCTAAAAAATATCTCACGTACTGTCTGGCTTTCTGAAAAGTACCAAATATTTGTTTTGTTTTTTTAAGTTCATATCCAAACACTGAGTAGGATAAGCACAGGGCCCTTATTAGCTTTAACCTTTTGACTTCTTTAAAAGAAGACCTCTGGATTATACTA